CGGACGCACGGAAGCGTCGAGGTTGGAATGCCAATACGGCGCCCTGCCTACGAACCAACGGACAAAGCATTGGCAAGACTACAGACTTCGCCGTTTGTTCCAGCAATTGAGAACGCGCCCCTACCATCAGGCTTCCTTCAGCTGAAATTCACTACATATGAAGGGAAGACGGACCCGTATACACACTTAAGCCACTTTCGCCAGGTCATGGCCGTTTACAGGCGAAACGAGGCCTTAATGTGCATAATCTTCCCATCAAGCCTTGGCGACCTAGACCTGACTTGGTTCGAGAAACTCCCAGAAGGCAGCATAGCCTCTTGGGCACAATTGGCAGAAGCCTTCGTGACAAGGTTCCGAACAAACACTAAAACCCCGGTGGAGATCGATCAGCTACTCTCCATCGACATGGGTGATAAAGAGACCCTAAGATCTTACAACAGTCGCAAACTGGGAGACATTCAATCAGATCGGGGACTGCCCCACCAATCTCGCCATTGCACAGTATAAAGAGGCCTTCCAGTTGGGAACAGACTGAGGGACTCGATCACCATGACGCCACCCCTCACTATGGAAGCCCTGATGGAAAGAGTGCATCAGCACATCAGGGTAGAAGAGGATGGCGCATAGCCAAAGCAAAATCACAGGTGCGACCACAGCACCAGAAAAGAAGACCTCAGCAAAGGTCAATACAGTAGATCGTCAAAGCAAGAACGGACGTAAGCGAAGAAAACGGAGAAGATCCGGATAAAGATGGTTAAGAATCCGCACTGCCAACCACGGTGTTCAAGAAACTGATATATCGGATCCTTAGCGAATAAGAGATGAGCCTTTCGTCAAGTGGCCAGCCAAACTAGGAGAAGCTCAGAAAGGACTATGACGAAAGATCACGGTGCACTTCCACAAAGAAAAGCGACACCGCACGGAGAATTGCACACCATTGAGACAACAGTTGGAAGAATTGGTGGCAGCAGGCCACTTGGACAAGTACATTGAAGGAGGAACGTAACCAGCCCCCCAGGATCACAATAACCCCAAACGGAATGCCAATTGACGCCCCGCCTCAAGGCATTATCAATGTGATACATGGAGTTTTTTTGAACCTGAGCGTGTATGCAAGCTCAGGGGATCAATCAAAAAGGCTGAGCATTTTAGAGAGGTGTTAAGTGCCCAACCACTATCATAAGAAGGGGAAGACAGAGGCCAAAAACTCATGTCCTTTTTCGGATAAGGACTTGGATCGAATAACTGTCCTCATAATGATGCCCTAGTCGTCACTCCTCCGAGTCAAGAGTTTGACGATGCGGATTCTGATTGACCAGGGTAGTTCATCGTGAAATCATGTACTAAAACACATTCAAACAATTAAAGTTGCGCAGACTTGGCGGCAAAGTATCACCCCTAATTGGATTCAACTCCATGCCAGAATGGCCCGTCGGCAAAATAATTCTTCCAGTCAGAGCTGGCAGCGTGACAAAACAAGTGGAGTTCTGGGTATTAAAGGTCCCCCCACTTACAACGTCATCTTAGGCAGAAAATGGCTGCATGCCCATGAGATCGGTGGCGTCGGTCCTACCACCAAGTAATGCGGTTTCCCAACGACCTCGGTATAATTGAAGAAGTATATGGAGATCAAATCATGTCAAAACAATGCTTCGGCCGTGAATGGCATCCGCTGCCAAAGGATACGTTCATTCGGTGGAAGAACGCAGAAAGTAATGAGCTATTCGCAGACGTCGGCAACGGGCGGATCAGAAAGTGGTGGAGGACTTGGTGGAGGTAAAAATAGATGAAAAGAACTCGGATAAGTTCTTTTTACTCGGTTCATCGTTGTCCAGCACTGAGAGATTAGAGGTCTTGGATTTTTAACCTCTAATATCGAAGTGTTCGCCTGGACACCCTATGACATGCCAGGCATTGATTCCCAACTTCATCTGTCACCCAACTCAATGTCACCCAATCCGCAGGCCAGTCATTCAGCGCACTCGTGATCGGCACTCCACCATGCCGAAATAGTGGCAATAAGTTGGTAACCTGCTGGAAGCAGGAGCAATTAGAGACGTGCACTACCCAAGGTGGTCTCCAACACAGTCGTAGTGCCAAAAAAGAATGGCAAGTGGCGGCGTCTGCGTCGACTACAAAACAGTCAACAAGGCTGCCCAAAAACAGCTTTCCCCTACCCGGATAGATCAATTGGTGGACCCTAACGGCGGGGCACAACCAACTTAGCTTTCTGGATGCATACAGAGGCTATCACCAAATCGCCAATGCATAGCCAGACCAGGAAGGTCAACATCTTTTACAACTCCAAGAGGTTATACTGTTAACAGGTCATGCCCTTTGGCCCTGAAGAATGCAGGGGCAAATTCAACGAGATGGTCACCAAGATGTTTGAACCATTGTTAGGCAGAACAATGGAGGCTTACATCGACGACATGGTGGTCAAAAGCAAGGATGAGAAATCGACGCATCTTTAAGGACCCTAGGCGAGATGTTTTTGAGTCCTGAAGAAACACAAGTTACAGCCTCAATGCGTCCAAGTGGTGATCGGAGTTGGAATCCTTGGCAATTCCTAGCTTCCTCCTGTGACAAACCTGAGGTATAGAAGCAAGACCCCTCTCAAAATCAAGCAATCAGGATTTGGAGAGACCAAACTCAGTAAAAGAAGTGCAGGCATTCTCACCCGCATGGCGGCTGCCTCAAGCCGTTCATAAGCAGGCATCAGATAGACTACGACATTTTCCATGCATTAAAGGCGCAAGTTTGAGTGGGATGAAGAGTGCGACCAAGCTCTGGAAAGCTTGAAGGAGTATATGTCTTCCCACCACTAATCTTTTACTTCCAGTACCTGTGAAGAACTCTTTTACTTTGTAACCTAGGCAAGTCTCTCAGCAGACGCAGTTAAGCAGCGCAGTATTGGGTTTGGTGCAGAAGGAATTCAACACTTACCCATCTATTAAAACGTTAAGCAAGACATTGCTAGGAGTCGAAACAAGGTATTTGCCACTAAAAAAAAAAAAAAAAAAACTCTTTCACTTCCATACGATTTTATAATTTTGAGGGATAAAAGTAATTTTTAAAAGTTTAAAAATATTTTTTTAATATTTATTTTATGTCAAACTAATATCTATCAAACCAATCAGGGCATTGTTTGGGTTGACCCAAAATCCATTTCCATAAAGAATCCAAACTCTTCAACTCCGGGCCGGTTAGCAGTGCGGGTCAGGAACGGTATCCAAATAGGTTTAACCGTTTTTGCGAAATTACAAAGATTTTGAGGGTGAAAATTCCGTTGTAATTTGTAATATATGTTTCGCGCCTAATATACATACAATACAAAACTCATATAACAGAATTACATTCTCTCTCTCTTCTCTCATTCTTCCAAAGAAGCAAAGAAAGGTGAAAGCCCTCTCTCTCTCTCTCTAAATCGTGTTATCTGCCATAAGATTATTGTCTCTTGTTGAACTTGATTGGTTAGGCTTTGTACATGTTGAATTTGATGATTTTCAAGTCTTGAAATCACGAGATCTGAGTTTGTGATTCAAACTGTTAGGCTATTCAATCTTTGATTGTTGATTCCATAGATTCTTGAATTTCTTTTCTCATTTTTTGAGTTTGCATTTTATTATGGATTCTGTTGATGCTGTTGAATCGAGGCATGTTAGCTGCAATGCAACAAATCATTGACATGTATTGGAGGAATTGTAATCTCTTTGTGTGTGAATATCATTATACTTGAATTAAATACATACTGATATGTATATATAGATACAATATTTTGTGCATGTTGCATCTTTGTAACTGAAGGTTAGGGTGATCATGAAAGGCTGAACTGTTCGTTGTTTGTTGGAAGGAAATCACGAGATTTTGGGGTTTTGACTCTTAGTCTGTGTTTGGAAGGGGATTTCTTCCTCAAATCCTTGATCCAAAAATGACCTTCAAGAAGCCTGGACTACAGAGAACAGAAAAGGTTTTGCATCACCAAGGATGTAAAATGATATCTGAAGTTTGCATATTTCTAGAGGCAAACTATCTTTGATAGAAACTTTCAGACATTCATTTAAGAAATGTGTTTAGATAGAACGACATATATGAAATGTGCTGAAAAAAAAAACCTCACCAAATCAGCAAGTTTCTAGGTTTTATTCGAACTTTGAGAGCATTTGGAACTTGTATTGACCTCTTTGTCTTCTATGTATTTTACGTATATATGTTCATTTCAATCAAGACATGGCTGACGAAAAATTGTCTGATGTGGCTTCTATTTATGTATCAGCTTTTAGTGAAGCAGTTCAGCCTGATAAATGGATGATCAGGTGAGGATATGATAGGCTTGCTTGATATTGTTTTCATTTTTAATGTTTTCAATTTTCATTTTCCACTTGTGTTTTCAGAAATAGGAAAGAATGAGCTGTTCAAAAACAAACATTTGTTTTCATGTCATTTCATTTTGTGTGAAAACAGTTTTTAAGTATTCAGAAAACAACTTAAAATAATTCTTAAAAATGTGTGTTTTCAGAATATCATTTTCAGAAAACAGTGTGATAAACAAACAAAGTTATTGTTTTCAACTTTTCTTCATTTTAACGTAATTTTCAATTTTATACATTTTTGCACTTGTACTGATTGATCTTGCTCATGAATTGGCAGTACCTTGTGCTTGAACGGATAGGAAAAGGAGCCTATGGCACGGTTTACAGGGCCTTTGACTGTGTCATCAGTAAAACAGTGGCTATGAAAGCTGTTCCGTTCAGGAATAACATTGTAGGCATCCCGAGCTCGGTAATACGAGAAACCTCCCTTCTGAAGGACATGGAACATGAGAATATTGTCAGGTATACACTCCCTAAGAATGTGTGTGGGCTTTGATTCACAATTCACAATTCACTTGTGCTATGGTTGGTTGGGAGATTTGAGTAAAGATTTGAAAAGGGAAGTGACAAAGGTAGGTGAAATGTGAATAAAACATACTTATATTTTACCTAGTTTCACACACCTTTTTTCTTTCCCTTTCTAAATCCCTTCCCAAATCTCCCAACCAAACACAGCATTAATTCTTTTATTTTGTTTTACACAAATTTTAGAAATTTAAATTGATGTTTACTACAATGATGATAAGCCTGTAATGTTATCAATATTGTCAGTAATAATTTCTGTCTGTACGAACACTTCATTCACATGAAATGCAGCTGAGAAAACACAATAATGTCCTTGAAAATACAAAAACGATGATTATTTTTTGCAAAAATAAAGAAAATATAGAACAATAGGATACAGTTGATTCAAAGGGATATTTTCCTTTGCTTGATGTCATTCCCCATGTGTAATGACCATTTGGTATTTGGATTATTTAATTTTGGTTTTTAGCTTTTTCCGGTTTCTTTGAAGTGATGGACTAATGATGTGTCATTTTCTATGATTTTATGGAATCCTATGGACAAATTCTTTGATGGAGTTTTGGTTTTTCAGGCTGCTGGATGTACAACATCATCAAAACAAAATATGTGTAGTTCTCGAGTATTTGGAATTCAATCTAGCGGAGTTCATGCGAAAATTCCCATCAACCGCTAAGGACCCACAAATTATAAAAGTGAGCCTCTTTCAGCCACATTGATTTTTTTGCAGTCAACTTACAGAGAATGATGCTATTTTCATTATTGGAGTTCATCTACCACATAACATTGGGTGTTAATTCTCTCTCTCTCTCTCTCACACACACACACACACACACTAGGATTCTTGTTAATTGTACCGATACCCTTGGATATTTTGTTTTTTGCTTCCATTAAAGAAGTTTTTATATTGATAATGTTTTACATATTGTACGGATAATTACAGATAATTTTGAATTATATATGTTTTTTTATGTTATTTTCCTAGGAGATTGAGGTGAATAGATCTTTGCATTGGCAATTTATCAAATCCCTACTAAAATCCATGATCCAAACATAGCCTTTGAGATTTGTCATTGAAGTAGACCATAGTTTTGCTGTAGAAGTATTTCCTCTCAGTTTATGAGTTCATTTTGATTTATCTTTTTGCAGTACATTTTGCTTCAGATTCTTCATGGTGTTGCATATTGTCATTCACAAAAAATTATCCATCGGGATTTGAAGCCACAGAATTTGCTGATAGATCGGAATAAAATACTGAAAATTGCCGACTTTGGACTGTCCAGGGCAGTTGATGTCCCTCTCAAGATATATACAAAAAAGGTAATGCTGTTCCTCTCAGGCCAGTTTTCAGTATTTGCTGTCCTTGGAATACCTGATTATTTTAATCTAAGAATGTTCAACTGCACCTTTGGAAGATACAATTTCTTCATCTTGAACAAAGAAATATCTTCTTGAATTGGCATGAAATCAATTAATCACTTGGTAATTTCAATATTGGAATTAATTGGTAAAATTGGCGTTAAGAAGTACAGACACATGACATGATACACCGACACGCAAGCATGACAATTTTCAAAAAATGCATGACACGACACATGGGAGACACGCATAGAATATATAATTTTTTATATTTATTATGCCATATATATGAATATATCATTATAAGATAATAAATAAATACAATATAACACTATAAATTGACATTATTTTTCCTTTATCATCTTATTCTAAATTGTTTTATTCAAACTTATAATTAGTTTCGTGTGTCTAGTTATGGACACGCGTGTCCTTCAAGTGTCCGAAGAGTGTCCAAGTTCTAAATTCTTTATGAAAAACCAGGACATGTTTGGATGAGTGTCGGACACGTGTCGAGAGAGTGTCTGATGAGTGTCGGTGTTCGACACGTACACAACACGGATACGCCGCCTTTTTAGAAGTGTCCGTGCTTCTTAGGTGATGTAGAATGGAGAGGGAGAAAGAGGAGAGAGGAAGAACAAAAGAGCCATAACCCTAATCACACAAGGTCTTAACTTTTAAACTCTTAATTTTAAATCTACTTTGAACAACACCATGCCAAATATCTTTATTTATAAGCTAATAACCCTAATAGAAAAAGAAACTAGATCTCTAACAAAATAGGAAGCTAAATATTAATAAGACAGCTAATTAAAATGTAATTTAAAAGAAAAAAAAAATTTAAAGACATAAAATTATAAAATTGTAAATAAAATCTGTATGCCCAAGTTGTTGCACCTATGCTTGAACATTGAACTCTATGTTCCACATCGTTATCACCAATTGAGAAAAATAACTTAACCTCAAGTTCCCTTAGAAGAAAACAACTCGAATCGCAGAAGGCTACAACCTTTAAACTCAATTTTATTAATCTTAATAATATCATGCCAAACATCCTTATTTATGAGCTAATTACCCTAATAGAAAAGGAAACTAGGATCCCTAACAAAATATGAAACAAAATATTAATAAGACTCCTAATTAAACCCTAAACCCTAATAGGAAAGAAAACTAGTACACCTAAAAAATAAGAAATAAATTATTGTTAAGATTTCTAATTAAGCTATAATTAAAATGAAAATAAATATAAATACTAAAGTTGCAAAATTACAAAATTCTAAATAAAGCCTCTACAACAAAGTTGTTGCACATATGCATGGACATTGCATCATTGAGTCAAATATTGCAACATTGTAGGATCTTGTGAAATCTCTTATTGGCATGTAACTACCAATGTGATTAATTTCTAATCTCGTATACTTCTTCTCAACTAGGGTTCATTAGGAAAATGGTTGATTGTTTTCTTTAGTCACAGTGAATGGTGAATATGATTCATTTGGTCATCTCAAGTTTCATGTGGGAGCTTCTTTTATATATATATATATATCCTATGTTACTCAAATACCCGTGTCGGACATTCGACACTCGGATAAGGATATGGGATATGTGTTGGATACTTCTTATATAATTGTATATAATTTCGGATCTTTGTATTTAAGGGGTTATTTTGAGTTTGTACGGTTAGAGTGATCTTGAGAGAAAGCCGGCTCAGTCTAATATGATCTACATTCATAGTGAAATTTCTCTGATCTTTGCCTGCAGCTATGGGCTTATACCCGAAACATGTTTGTTATGCTTTAGCTTTTCTCAGTTTTGCCTTTGCCATTACATTGTTCTTGGTAGCAATATGTGTGGATTCTAAAATTAGAGTCCAGGGGCATCAAATGCAATTATCATCAAACATGTTTGTGGTTGTTTGCACTTATCCCTATGTTTGTTTTCCCCAGAAAATGCTCTGTTTGGATGCCGGGAAAAGAATCACAGCTCGGGATGCTCTCAAGCATGCTTACTTTAGAGATGTACAGAATCCACCTTGATTTCCTGATGGCAATCCCATTCTTCTTCTCTGCTGTTGCATGGACTGAGAGAGATTGTATGGATCATTGCCCAAGTTGTCATTGAATCTGGTTCAGTAAGTACATAACTACAGCATAATAGTGTGCTTGAAATGAACATTCTAGAAATACTGATTTCTCAAATTACATCCATAGCATAAGTTTTTTTTAGTTTACTCCATGTTTGTAGTTGTAGATGGATCATTTCTTGATCTGCAATGTGAAGTAATGCAGTCTATCATTTTGTTGCATCCAAAAAACTCTGGCTATACTCGAAGGGAGCGTTATTGGATTGTACTCTTTGTCTAATAGATTTACTAGTCCATCGTTTGATTAGAAAGGTGAATATCTGACTAACCCTTCGTTTGTTTGTTTTCCATAGTTTTTGACATTTGATACAATGAAAAACGAAATCAATGGAAAACAAACTTATTTAGGTAGAAAATGTTTTTCACTTTTAAAAGATGGAAAACATTTTCCGAACTAAAATCTTACTAATGTTACCGTACTACCACTGTCATTGCTACCATCACTATCGCCATTATCACCATGCCAACCCCACCACCTCCATTACCACCAAATATAAAAGATTTTTTTTTTCAAAAAATATTTCCTAAAAAAAGTTTTCTGTTAAAAAATATATTCTATCCAATCAAACAGAATGTGATAGTCAAATATATACATAATTTTCAATCAAATAATCTAAAAATTATTTATATCAAGATTGTTAGTGTTAGTAGGTATTTTAATATTATAATGTGTTATAGGTTGGTTTTCTTTTCTTTTCTTCCAAGTTAAGCCTTCCAAGTCCTTGTCAAGTCTTGGTCTTAGTCTCCCCATTCTTATCCTTTCAAGTCTTCCAAGATAAGTCTTCTTCAAGTCTTTGCCTAGACTTATCCTCATCAAGTCTTCTCCAAGTCTTTATCCTTTATCTTCTATATATATATTGAGCTAATGTCCTATCTTGGTATATACGAGAAGGAGTTTTTGTTGCTTTGTTATGTCTAATGTGAGATTATCAGACAAATAAAAAAGGGTGTATGTGATAAAGTTTTGGGTTCAACCAATTGTGCAGTATTGGTGAACCATACGACTTAGTAGGGCTGTTGTATCCTGAGGGGACAAGTCAAGGTTTTTTCTGCTGCACCGCTGTGAGGCTTTGCCTAACCGCAAAGGGCTTGAATCTCCTTAAAGAGAGCGAATTTCCCGCGCCTCAGCCTTTATATAATTGTTGTAACTTTTATTTTGTGTAATTTATTGGATATGCAACAAATAGTACAGCCTATAGATTTTTTGATATGGAAAACAAAATAATTTTTGAATCAGGTGATGCAATTTTTCATGAAGAAAAATTTCCTTTTAAATCTAAAAATGGTGGGGGTCAAAATTATCAAGAAAATATGTTATCTGAAACTGGTTCCTCTACTCTTTTTTTACAAAACCAAGACACTGTAGTTTTTGAACCTAGAAGGAGTAAAAGAGCCAGATTAGAAAAAGATTTTGGCCCTGATTATCATGTTTTTAATGTGGAGGAAACTTCATTAATTTTACAAGAAGCTTTGGTATCTCCTGACTTTGTTTTTTGGAACGAGGCTGTAAATGATGAGATGAAATCATTATTATCCAATAAAACTTGGGTAATAGTAGATTTACCACCAGGTTGTAAAACTATTGGTTGTAAATGGGTTTTGAGAAAAAAACTTAAACCAGATGGAGCTATTGATAAATATAAAGCAATGCTTGTGGCAAAAGGTTTTAAACAACAAGCAGATCTTGATTTTTTGTATACATTTTCTCCGGCTACTAGAGTTACATCCATTAGATTATTAATTGCAGTGGCTACAATTCATGATTTAAAAATTCATCAAATGGATGTTAAAACAGCCTTTTTAAATGGAGACCTGGGTGAAGAAATCTATATGGATCAACCTGAGGGTTTTGTGAAACCTGGTCAAGTAAGCAAAGTGTGCAAGCTAGTTAAATCCCTATATGGCTTAAAACAAGCCCCTAAACAGTGGCATGAGAAATTTGATTCCTGCATGATTGAGAATGGCTATAAAACGAATGAATGTGATAAATGCATTTACTATAAATCTGAAGAAAATTCAAATGTCATTATTAGCCTCTATGTGGATGATCTACTTATATTTGGCTCTAATTTGCATATCATCGTGGAAACTAAAAATATGCTTAGTAGCCATTTTGATATGAAAGATCTTGGTGAGGCTAATTATTTTTTGGGAATGAAAATTACCAAAACCTTTGATGGTATATTTCTTGATCAGTCGCATTATGTTGAGAAAATTTTGAAAAAATATAATTTTTATAACTGCAAGCATGTTCTTACTCCTTTTGATCCTCATGTGCGTTTATTTCCTATTGAAAATGATGAGGATGTAATTAATCAAAAGGAATATGCTAATATGATTGGTAGCTTGCGTTATGCGACTGACTGTACTAGACCTGACATTGCATATGTAGTTGGAGTACTTAGCAGGTTTACTAGCAAGCTTGGCAGTGATCACTGGCTAGCCATTGAGCGTATTATGAAATGTTTATCTGGTACCATAAAATATGGCTTGTTTTATAATAAGTATCCTGCAGTACTTGAAGGTTACAGTGATGCCGATTGGAATACCTTGTTAGGTGATTCATTATCAACCACCGGTTACTTATTTACATTGGGAGGTGGTGCTATAAGCTGGAAATCGAAAAAACAAACCATTATTGCTAATTCAACAATGGAGGCTAAGCTTATTGCTTTAGCTACAGCCAGTGAAGAAGCAAATTGGTTAAGAGATTTGTTAAATGAAATCTCTTGTTGGAAAAAACCGATTCCACCTATATTGATTCATTTTTTGGTATAATGAGCTGAATTTTAGTAGAATATAATATGAAGTTAGAGTGTTATTTGTCATAACTGTTATACTCTGTGGCTCTTTCCAATTTATTTCCAAGAGCTTAATAGATAGTAGGGTTGTGGGTTGATTGTTATACATGTAAGTCAAACTTTAAAAGGGGTAAAAAGTTTTGAACCAGTGGCTATGCATGTTGCAACTGCCTATAAAAGTTTTGGTGCTGAACTTATGTTATCTTGGTTGGGCAAGAGCATAATTGGATAAAATGGAGACATTAGTATAGCCTGTGATTAGGTTATTTATAGTTTCTTCTTTTCATACTTGACATTTTAGTCCTTGATTGGTGGTCGTCAACACCGATAGCTAATGGTATCTGCATGAACTCTTCAGGCCCGTCCGGTTTTGTCGCCCATTGTTTCAAAGAAAGATCAAGAGGGAGTTGGATCTACTGGCATGAAGTCCCTGAGAGCATTTGCTCTTCTTGGAGCAGGTGTATCGGGGCTTTTGAGTTTTGCAACAATAGCATCCGCTGATGAAGCTGAACATGGTTTACCGTGTAGTGGGGCCGCTACCTATGAGATTTGGGTTAATTCTTAAACACACTCATGAATCCTGTGATCGCACAAGGCCGTAATGTGCTACCTTTTAAAGCTTTTGTGAACACCTGGAATATTATGTGTGTGCAATAATTATTTATTTCCCTTAAGTAGTCATAGTTCAATGCTGAGCATACTATTGGCTCTGGAGTAGATATTATTGTTTCACTAATGGAGGTTCAATGCAGAGCACACCTACCATGATGCATAATATCCTTATTTGCCTAATAATCTCAGTTTTTGTTACCTATAATATTAAAATAGGTGGGGGAATGTTAGCAGTATTTTAATATTATAATGTGTTATAGGTTGGTTTTCTTTTCTTTTCTTCCAAGTTAAGCCTTCCAAGTCCTTGTCAAGTCTTTGCCAAGTCTTGGTCTTAGTCTCCCCATTCTTATCCTTTCAAGTCTTCCAAGATAAGCCTTCTTCAAGTTTTCGCCAAGACTTATCCTCATCAAGTCTTTTCCAAGTCTTTATCCTTTTCTTAATCACCAAGAAAAACCTTCCAAGCCTTATATTTTATATATATTGAGCTAATGTCCTATCTTAGTGTATACGAGAAGGAGTTTTTGTTGCTTTGTTATGTCTAATGTGAGATTATCAGGCAAATAAAAAATGGCGTATGTGATAAAGCTTTGGGTTCAACCAATTGTGCAGTATTGGTGAACCATACGACTTAGTAGGGCTGTTGTATCCTGGGGGACAAGTCAAGGTTTTTTCTGCTGCACCGGTGTGAGGTTTTGCCTAACCGCAGAGGGTTTGAATCTCCTTAAAGAGAGCGAATTTCCCGCGCCTCAGCCTTTATATAATTGTTGTAACTTTTATTTTGTGTATTTTCTAGTATTTTATTTGTAAGTATCACCAACAGTTAGTCTATTGCATTGTAATTCTTTTTATTCACTCCATCCAAACAAATACCCCTAATAGAATTGGTGGGGAGTGTAAGTCAAATATATAATAAAAAAGTGATTTTGTTTATCGTTTTCGAAAATATGCAAAATGAAAACAAAAGGAATTGAAAATAACGAGTGTTTTAAGACTATTTGTATTTATCAACATTTTTTTTTTCTTTCCTCTTTTGTTAAGAGATTATATTGACCCTTTTCAATTCAATAAAACCACTACATTTTTTTGCACAACTTTTTTGAACAATTTTACCCCACGTGTATGTTTTGTGGGCTATGTTCACAATAAATATAATTCTCAGCAAAATTATGCAAAAGATGGCGATTTGGAGCAAAATTATTTTCGAGATGTGAAACTTATACAAAATTTAAATTAAAAGGAAAATAAAATTGCTTATAATATAGGGTTAAATTCATTTGATCTCTTTGTGATTTGGAACTGGGGTATTTTATCTCCTATTATTTAAATATAGCTAGAAAGTCCCCATGTGATTTTGAATTAAAGTGCTACAATTAATTTTTCCATCTAGACTAATGGAATGTGTATTACACACCAATGAAATTCATACAACAAAAGGACAATTTTACTCTCATTTTCTCCAAATCTAAAATTAGATTAATATGTTAATTAAATTAAATTAAAATATAATTAATAATTGATCTAAAATATAAAATAAATTAACAATTGATAAAGAAAATGTAATTAAATTAAAATTAGATTAACATGTTAGAAATTATAATAAATAATTAAGAATTTCGGATTAATTGTGATCTAAAATAAAATAAAATTAAAATTAGATTAAAAAGTTAGTAATTACGATAAATAGTTAAATATTTAGGATTAATTGTCATCTAAAATATTATTAATTAAAAGTAGAATAAAAATTTAAGAATTACAATAAATGATTAAAAATTTATAATTAATTGTAATTTAATTGAATTAATACTGGACATTAGTTAATAGTATTAATGGTTGTATTTGAGTCCAAAACGGAAAATGCATGAGACCCCACTGGGGTGCTGGGGTCCCTTCTGATTGGCCCAAAAATTGTTTTTGTTTTTTTTTTTTTATTGCTTTTCAGCCAGTGGCGCAGCCCCCCACGTGGAGGTGGGGGGTGCTGGGGGTCACCCCCCACTGGGTCCCCAGCATTACCGGGTCCAAAACTATGTGGGGGGGCATATGGATATTTTCAAAAGACAAGGGGGTAAAGTGCTATTATGTTTATGTACCACAGATTATAGTCTATTGAGCGTGATTAATTAGCATTTGTACATGTTTGAATTTGATGATTTTCAATCTTTCAAGTCTTGAAATCATGAGAACAATAGGTGATTCTGAGTTTGTGATTGAGACTGTTAGGCTATTTGACCTTTGATTGTTGATTACATAGATTCTTGAAAAATGAAATTTTTCTCATTTTCAAGCTTGCATTTTATTATGGATTCTCTGTTGATGCTCTTGAATCGAGGCATATTAGATGCAATAAATCATAGAAAATGTATTGAAGGAATTGTGATTTCTTTGTGTGTGAATATCATTATACTTGAATACATACTGATACAATATTTTGTGCATGTTGCATCTTTATAACTGAAGGTTAGGGTGATCATGAAAGGGTGAACTGTTTGTTGGAATGAAATCATGAGATTTGGGGGTTTTGACTCTTAGGCTGTGTTTGGATCAAGTATTTGAAAGTGGATTTGTGAAGGGAAAGGAAAAGTGAAAAAAAAAAAAAAAAAACTTCTATTTCATTCACTTTTCCCCTCAAATTGATCCTCAAATCCTTGATACAAATACAACTTTAGAGAAGGCCAGACTACAGAGAACAGAAAAAGTTTTGCATCACCAAGGATGTAAAATGATATCTCAAGTTTGCATATTTATAGATGCAAACTATCTTGACAGAATCTTTCAAACATTCATTTAAGAAATGTATTTAGATAGAACAACATATATGAAATGCGCTAAACAGAGAAAAAAAATCTCATCAAATCAGCAAGTTTCTATGTTTTGTTCGAACATTGAGGGTATTTGGGACTTGTATTGACCTCTTTGTCTTCTACATATTTTACAAATATGTTCATTTCAGTCAAGACATGGCTGATGAAATTTTTTCTGACGTGGCTTCTATTTATGTATCAGCTTTTAGTGAAGCAGTTCAGACTGATGAAATGGATGATAAGGTGAGGATATGATTGGGCTTGTTTGATATTGTTTTCATTTTTAATGTTTTCAATTTTCATTTTCCACTTGTGTTTTCAGAAATAGGAAAGAATGAGTTGTTCAAAAACAACCATTTGTTTTCATATCATTTCATTTTGTGCGAAAACAGTTTTCAAATATTCAGAAAACAACTTTAAAACATTTCTTAACAAACGGGTGTTTTCAGAATACCATTTTCTGAAAGCAGTGTGTCAAACAAACAAAGTTATTGTTTTGAACTTTTCTTCATTTATATGTACTTTTCAATTTTATACATTTTTGCATTTGCACTGATTGATCTTGTTCATGAATTGGCAGTACCTTGTGCTTGAACTGATAGGAAGAGGATCCAATGGCACGGTTTACAAGGCCTTTGACTGTGTCACCAGTAAAACTGTGGCTATGAAAGTTACTCTGTTTAGGAATAACATTGTAGGTATCCCAAGCTCGGTAATACAAGAAATCTCCCATCTGAAGGACATGGAACATGAGAATATTGTCAGGTATACACTCCCTAAGAGTGTGGGTTTTGATTCACAATTCACTTAAGCCGTTATTTCGTTTTATACAAATTTTAGAAATTTAAATTGATGTTTGCTACAATGATGATAAGCCAGTCATGTTATCAATATTGTCAATAATCATTTCTGTTTATATGAACACTTCATTCACATGAAATGCAGCTGAGAAAACACAATAATGTCCTTGAAAATACAAAAATAATGATTATTTTTTGCAAAAATCAAGAAAACATAGAACAACAGGATACAATTGATTCAAAGGGATATTTTCCTTTGCTTCATGTCATTCCCCATGTGTAATGACCATTTGGTATTTGGATTTTTTAATTTTTGTTTTGAACTTTTTCTGTTTTCTTTCAAGTGATGGACTAATGATGTGTTATTTTCTATGGACAAATTCTTTGATGGAGTTTTGGTTTTCCAGGCTGCTGGATGTACAACATCGTAGAAACAAAATACTTCTAGTTCTTGAGTATTTGGAATTCAATCTATGGGAGTTCATGCGTAAATTCCCATCAACCGCTAAGGACCCACAAGTTATAAAAGTGAGCCTCTTTCAGCCACATTGATTTTTATGCAGTTAACTTGTAAAGAATGATGCTATTCACATTATTGGCGTTCACATTGGGTGTTAATTGTTGGAAAATTTATAAGAGGTAGTTGTGAATTGAAATAGACTCCATTTTGAATGAAAAAGTGTAATCTTTCATGGTGTCTTTTTGTTTTAAGGGAAGGGTCAAACCTCCATTTGAATGAAAGGGTGTAAACCTTTCATGGTGTCTCTTTATTTCAAAGGAAGGGGTATGTCCCTTCTTCATACCTTTTCTATTCAAATTGAATAGGTGCCAACAAAGCCTATATAAAGGCAGCCCCATTCCAATTTTGATTGATTCTGAAAATTCATTTTCCTTGCCTTCATTTTGCTCTCTTGCGTCCTTTATTATTCATATTATTTTAGGGTAATTTTCAGAGAGTTAGAACACAAGTTTGGTTCGCCGAATAAATTGTTTGGAGTGCTACTACAATTTGTGAAGATCATTGTATCCTGGGAGATAGACGCCACTCAACCATAAGCACTGTAACGGGGCGAATCTGTCTTAAGGACAGAGTGTCACATACTCGACTTGGTCTTTTATTTTTAATTCGGTTCGATAAATAAATTCGGTAAGTTATTTATTTTATTTTATTTGACTTTGTTTTAATTTATTTTATTTACACAGAAGATTGTTCCAACAATCTTAAGACAGATTCGAATTATTCTGTTTACAGAATTTTTCGTTTGTTTCCTTTTCTCTTTCTTCTTTTAAGAAAATTATTTTTTGTGGATTTACAAAATAATATTCTGGTTGGAAAAGCAAATAGTGATTATATGCTATTTGACGGATAGTAGTAATATACTGTTTATTTTCTTTGACAACTAGTAGTACAATATTGGTGTCATTAACAATTCAGAATATATTTTTGTGAAATTTTGTCAGAAAATTAATTTTGGTTTTTAGAAATTATTTTCTGAGTTTTCATTAATTAAAATTCTATTTCAGTATTTTAATTATTGAAGTATTACAGAAATTTAATTTTCTGTGTGGAATTAATTTGGTTAAATAAAATTTTATTTTATTTTATTTCCAAATTAATTGAAAATAAAAGTTACATTTTGGTTTGTTTCTTTTATTTTAACAGAACTTATTTCTGTAGTTTTGGTTTAATTTGTTTAAATAAAATTTGATTTTATTTTCAAATTAATTGAAAATAAAAGTTACAATTCTTATTTCTTTTATTTTTACAGAATTTAAAATTCTGCTTTTTTTAGTTTAAATTTTTTGTGTAGTATAAAATTCTAATTATAATTTTATTTTATAATTTAGAATTTATGGCTACTAAAACTGATCAAACTAATGTTCTAACCAATACTGGTATGGTGATTGCCATTGCGCCAACCTCTCCTTATGTTGGGACTGTGCCAGTGAATCATGGTGAAAAACCAGAGAAGTTCTTAAGAACTGTTTTTAAAAGATGGCAGAAGAGAATGCTATCTAAAGGAGGGGAAACTAAGAAATACAAGTTTAATGGCATTTGTTACATTTGTAACAAAGAGGGACATCGTGCCAAAGATCGCCGTTACAAACGTAAAGGCAAAGGAAGATCAAGTAAGAAGGTTGCTAAAACCAAAATGACTGAAATGGATAAAATTTCTAATGGTGTAGATGTCATAAATCTTTCTGTAGTTGTTTCCGAAGCAAATCTTGTCGGAAATCCTAAAGAATGGTGGGTGGACACTAGTGCTACTCGTTATATCTGTGCTGACAAAAAGATGTTCACATCTTATTCTATAGTGGACAATGATGAACAACTTTTTATGGGCAACTCCTCAACTTCCAAAGTTGAAGGACAAGGAAAGATTGTACTAAAGATGACATCAGGAAAGGAACTCACTCTCAACAATGTGCTGCATGTACCGGACATTCGCAAGAATTTTGTTTCCGGATCTTTGTTGAGTAAGAATAGGTTTAGGCTAGTATTTGAGAGTGATAAATTTATACTTACTAAGAATGGGATGTATGTAGGAAAATATTACATATCTGATGGCCTTTTCAAGTTAAATGTAATGACCGTTGTACCCTCAGTTATTAATAATAATACATCTTCTTCTTACTTGCTTGAGTCTTCAAATTTATGGCATGGTAGACTAGGACATGTTAATTATGGATCTTTGCGTAGATTAATTAATATGGAATGTTTACCAAAATTTGCAATTGATTCAAATCATAAATGTGAAATTTGTGTTGAGGCAAAATTATCTAAAACTCCTTTTCATTCAATTGAAAGAAGTACGGAACCACTTGAATTAATTCATAGTGACATTTGTGATTTTAAGTCAATTCAAACAAGAGGTGGGAAAAAATATTTTATCACTTTTATAGATGACTATACTAGATATAGTTATGTTTATTTAATTCAAATCAAGGATGAAGTTTTGGAAATTTTCATTCAATATAAGAATGAAGTTGAAAATCAACTTGGTAAGAAAATCAAGAAACTTAGAAGTGATAGAGGTGGTGAATATGAATCACCTTTTGGTGAATTTTGTAAAGAACATGGAATAATTCATCAAACCACCGCTCCTTTGTAGACACCCCATTTTTGACGGTCCTCAAGACTTGGACGTCACCATTGGAACACTTGGTGATTACCCTTGTTTGTGTTCGTCTTGAGTTCCCAGAGGTCTAGGCTTGCGCGCCTTGCCTCAAGATCTCTCGACTCGACTGTTTAGTGTCTGGTTTCGTACCAAACACTTGTGTTTTGCCTTGGAGGGGCAGGGAATACCTTGTGAGGCATCCCCACACATCACCGGCCTTGGCCAGAGGCCACCGGCTGGTGTTTTGTTGCCATCGGCAGTGTATATTGCCGGTCGGCATTCTTTGTTGCCGGTCGGCAGTACATTTTGTCAAGATGGCAATTTTGAGCAGCCGACTACTGTTCATCTGCTTTTGCAGATATTTTAATACAGCTGTATGGCATTTTGTTCCCCTCCATACACGTGTATGGAGGGATGGCCTTCTTGTTAGTGTATGGAGGGATGGCCTTCTTGTTAGCTTACCTTGTAAGCTTTGCAAGATTGGCTCCTCTATAAGAGGAGCCCTCCTCTCTTGGCTTTAGGGTTGGACAAAAAGGTTAGAAAATATACAGAGGAGAGCTCTGGAATAGGGTTAGGGTTTGTGTCTCACCTATCTCTATTTCTCTCTTTCTTTTTACCTTTGTGTGTCTATAAGTGCATTTGTGTCTTACTATTGCACACAAACACATAGTGTTACACCTTCCCTTGGCTACTGAGGTTCTAAGAGGTTGTTCTTGAGGTTCTTGGGTGGTTTTGAGCTTGGAGGAGCAGCTGGTCCACCATTGTTGAAGAGGTCTTCAAGGGTAACAATCTTACCTCTTTTTACCCCTTTCTTGCATTGTATTTTTGCCTATCTTAGAACTGTTTTTGAGCTTAGTGTATAATATAAAAAAGTTCTGTTGTTGTGCCCTCTAAATAGTTTGTTTAGAGTGTTTTGTGGTTTGGAGGTGTTTGACCCCTCTTAGGCCTTGAGAGGCCCCATTTTGTGCTATTTTGAGTGAGCTCCGGGACCTTGGTGTTTGGGCCTCCTCACCACTAAAATCTTGAGGGATTTCAGAGGTGAGGATGGTGCCTTGAGGTCCCCCTCTCCTCATTGTCCTTGAAATGGACCATTTTTGGCCTCTTGAGGGAGCACCTAGCTAAGCTTCATGTTTACCATGCCTTAGCTGATTTTCGTGCCTATTATGTCATAATATGCTTCTGTTTTTAATTGGTTTTGGTACACCATGCATGCTTAGCATACCTACCTTGTAATGCCATGTCTAGGCCTTAACGTGCCTTAGGTTGTAAGCCTTTGTTCTATCATGTTTTAGGCCTAGCTTTGTGAAGCTTTTGTGCTTATCTTGCCATGTTTGAGGTCTGTCCTTAGTCATTTTGGTCGGCCATGACATGCATTATATACCCCCTTTGCATTTTTGGTTTGTTAGCCTTAAGTTTTGGGTCTTTGTTGCATGCTTAGCCTATCTTGTTTGCTTGGTTTGGCACCATCTTAACATGATTCCAGAGCTTACATTGCATGCCATATGTCCATGATTATTCCCTTTTAAGTGTGCTTAAAGTAGTCCTTTGACGCTCAAGTGTTTTAGGCCTTAACATGTGCATGTGTGTATATGTGTTTGGTCCCATTCTTAAGCTTTTGCCACTGTTTTGGGACCTAACTTAGAGCCGTCCAATTAGTGTAAGTCCATCCCTTGTATGCCATTCAAGTGCTATTACATCACCTCATGTTTGCATACTTTGGTTGCATGTGTTGCATGCTCGAAATCATTTGCATTTGGTATGCATTTCTTTGGCCAAATTACTAGCATGTTGCATGATTAGATCACATCTTGCATGCTCTAAGTGGTTTGCATAGTTGTGGCATGCTTGTTTGCCTTGTTTCTTAGGTTGTGTACCTAATGGCATGGCATGTTTGCATGCTCCCTTTCATACTATGTTGCATGTTAGTTAACATGCTTAGGTTGCATTGAACATGCATGCCTTGTCACTTGATTTAGTGATAGGGATTGGGCCTCTTTGGTTTGTTGGTTTGCATTGCACTTGACATCAAAATGTGCACACTTGGTCCCTTGGGCCATCACGCATTGAAATGCGCGATTGATGGTCCGAGAACCAAGGACCATGTCCCTTTGAGTCATACACATGATAAGGGATAGGTTTGGTGCATACATTGCTTGAATTGTATTGCCATGCTCTGCCTTGCCCTCTGCTGCTGTCAATTGCAGGTTCTGCAGGCACTTTCTGCCGATCGACTGCATATAGTGCCGACCGGCAATCCTTCCTGGGCCGATAGCTTCACCATAGCCGGTGATCATATACCACTGCGGTGGCCATTCTACTCAGCCGGTGGTGTCTCCCAATGTCCAGGGAAGCAATCTTGAGACTTTGGCAGCCTTCAGAGGAGTATAGCAGGGAAAACAGAGGCAGCTTGCGCATGGCAGTGCACTTCCGAGCAGGACCGAGAGCACGCGCGCATCGAACCCTCTTCCCGAGGCCCCTGTTATTGCTTTTCTTATGCTTAGTTAATTTGTTATTAATTAGGTGATTTGTAATAATTAATTAGCTTGTAGGTTAATTATCTGTAATATTTATTTGGCCCCTCCGAGCGAGGGCGAATCTGTAATAAGTGTGGGTGCGTGTGTGTGCATGTCTTCCAATCCCCACTTCTTTCTTCCCTTTTATTTACCTGCTTATGAAGGTAGATTAGGGCATGTTTAAATTAGCATACCTCATGCTACGCATGCGTGCATCCATACATTTGTCTTACATGCACCAAGCTCGGTACATCATGCTAACTGCATTTGTACTTCAATTCCAAATTGAATACGTGTATCAACTGATTGCATGTCACATGCCATGTTTAGGTTAGCCGAGCCTACTCTAAATTGCATCCCGTATGTGTTGCATTAGTCAATTTGACATGACCTAGGACCATGCATGTTGGCTAACTAGTTTATTGTTTTGGCATGGAGTACGATGTAAGTATTTTATGCTTTAGCATATCGCATGCGTGTAAATGCTATTATGACGGCATGCTTACCATGTGGCTAGATGCTTATGTGATAAACTGTTTGAATGCTTGTGGGTGAAGGTTGGATTGTTTGAGTTGGAAAAACTCGTTGAAATCCGTATTTTAGCCTACTTACGAGTAACAAATTCCAAAGTACTTTTTTAAGACAAACGGATATGCAACGCTTATTCCCAAATTAGGCAATCTAGTCTATACTTGTTTGTCGTGCGCATAACATAGTAATGCTAGGCTAATAATTGGTTTAAGAACACATAACGTTTTCAAAAACGGATATCATGGTTAGTAGAGGCCGATCTTCGGATCGGGCGAGAGGGGGTGCTCATAGCTGACCTTCCCCAATCGTACCCAAGTTCCCGAGCCGAGGCAACTTTGGTGATAACGGACACGTGGCCTTTGGCACCGAGTCAGGGTTTCTTAAATTCCCCCATTTTAAAGTATTTAGGTGGCGACTCTGTATCTGACAAAGCAGTCCATGTTTGTCACTTCTTTTCAAAAAATCTGTTTCTCAAAACGATTTGCCGAATTTGGACTCTTTGGTTCAGATTAAGAACCGTGACACAAATCGAGTCCGAGCTGTAGCGGGGCCCCACACGGGCGCGACTACATCCTTACTCACCTCAGCAAAATGGAATTTCTGAAAGGAAAAATAAGACTTTAAAAGAAATGATGAATGCCATGTTAATAAGTTCTGGATTACCTCAGAACTTGTGGGGGAAGCAATACTTTCTGCTAATTATATACTTAATAAAGTACCCCGAAAGAAAGTGAATCAAACACCTTATGAATTGTGGCATGGAAGAACACCATCCTACAAATACTTAAAAGTGTGGGGGTGTTTGGCTAAAGTGACTATTCCTAGTCCTAAAAAGACTAAGATAGGTCCTAAGACCATTGATTGTATTTTCATTGGTTATGCTCAGAATAGTAGTGCTTATCGGTTTTTGATTCATAAATCAGAACATTCCGAAATGTATGTAAATACTATTATTGAATCTCGAAATGCATTTTTCTTTGAACATGTATTTCCAAATAAAACTAGACAAGAGATAAGTAAACCGTAAAAGATCTCATGATGCTATTACTAGTCAGGATCAAGAACATGATCAAGAACAAGAGTTAGATCAAAATAAGGAAGAGGAACCTAGGCGTAGTAAACGTGCTAGAACCTCAAAATCTTTTGGTCCAGATTTTCTAACATATTTGTTAGAAAATGAGCCTTTAACTTTTAAAGAGGCTATGTCCAATCCTGAGGCGCCTTTATGGAAAGAAGCTGTCAACAGTGAAGTTGAATCCATCTTGCAAAATCACACTTGGGAATTAGTGAATTTGCCACCAGGTTGTAAACCTCTTGGGTACAAGTGGATTTTTAAAAGGAAAATGAAAGCGGATGGATCAATTGACATATACAAGGCAAGACTTGTGGTCAAAGGTTTTAGACAAAAAGAAGGTCTTGATTACTTTGACACATACTCATCGGTTACTAAAATAACATCCATTAGAATGTTAATTGTCATTGCATCTTTATACAATTTAGAAATTCATCAAATGGATGTGAAAACCGCTTTCTTAAATGGTGAGTTAGAGGAAGAAATTTACATGGAACAACCAGAAGGTTTTTCTGTTCCAGGAAAAGAAAAGAAAGTGTGTAAATTGATTAAATCATTATATGGTTTAAAACAAGCGCCAAAGCAATGGCATGAGAAATTTGACAAGGCAATAATGTCAAATGGATTCAAAATTAATGAGTGTGACAAATGTGTTTATATTAAAAACACAGACAAAGGTTATGTCATTGTATGTCTTTATGTAGATGATATGCTCATTATAGGTAGTAATAATGACATAATTAAAACTACTAAGAAAATGTCGAATAAACATTTTGACATGAAAGACATGGGCATTGCTGATGTAATTTTTGGTATGAAAATTATCAAAATATCAGAAAGATATGCTTTGTCACAATCTCATTACATTGAGAAAATATTTGACAAATTCAGCAAAGATGATGATCATCTTGCTAGAACACCTGTAGATGTTAATTTGTATCTTTCTAAGAATATACAGGAAAGTATTTCTCAATTAGAGTATGCCCAAATTATTGGAAGCTTAATGTACTTGATGAACTGCACTCGCCCAGATATAGCTTATGCAGTAAGTAAATTAAGTAGATATACGAGTAATCCAGGAGTAGAACACTGGAAAGCAATTATAAGGGTTCTAAGATATCTCCGATTTACTCGTAACATTGGATTAAATTATACTAGATATCCAGCAGTACTTGAAGGTTACTGTGATGCAAACTGGATATCGGATACTAGAGACTCAAAGTCCACCAATGGGTATGCCTTTATTCTTGGTAGGGCGGTTGTATCATGGAAATCTTCCAAACACACTTGCATTGCTAGGTCTACTATGGAATCAAAATTCATAGCTTTAGACAAAACAGGGGAAGAGGCAGAATGGCTTCGCCACTTCCTTGAAGATATTCCAATTTGGCCAAAACCGGTGCCTGCTATATACATATATTGCGATAGTCAATCAACTATAGGTAGAGCACAGAGTCATATGTATAACAGTAAGTCACGACACATTCGTCGTCGACATAACACCGTGAGACAACTACTCTCTAATGGAATTATTTCTATTGAATATGTGAAGTCTAAAAACAACATAGCGGATCCACTAACCAAAGGGTTAGCAAGAGAGTTAGTTGAGAATTCATCGAGGGGATTGAGACTTAAGCCTATTTAATAAGAGTTACCACAACGGAAACCCAACCTAGTTGACTGGAGATCCCAAGATCTAGGTTCAAAGGGACAACCGAGTTGTGAATGACTCAGAAAGATCACTGGGGAGTCTAACTCCTACCCATTTCTATGATGAAATAGTGATGTCTGCAGCGTTTTAGGTTAAGTAATACTTTTAATGATTCTTATATCTAGGTAAACTTAGTGGAGTATGGCAGGATACTCTTCAGAAGAATCACCTATATGAGTGTGAACTGGGCCGGTTCTATGAGATTTGTGAAGGGCTACAATTCTCTAGAGCACTCATGAAAGACCAGGTTGTTCAGGGCCAAAATGAACACAATAGTGAGAACTAAACTGTGTCTGAAGATATACTGTGTAAGTTCTATTGTCTTGGTTTACACAAATGGCTGAACAGTTCAAGACATCATGTTCACTGGTTAGCTAGTAAATCCAATAGTGTCTCACAAGGGAAGGTTCAAAGCCAAAAGCTACCTATCCTTTGCAGAATATTTTCAATTTCTGTACTCTCTGTATTTACATCATGTTGTTGCATTTTCTCTCTGTCAATTTCATTCATGTGGGGGATTGTTGGAAAATTTATAAAGAGGTAGTTGTGAATTGAAATAGACTCCATTTTGAATGAAAGGGTGTAACCTTTCATGGTGTCTTTTTGTTTTAAGGGAAGGGTCAAACCTCCATTTGAATGAAAGGGTGCAAAACCTTTCATGGTGTCTCTTTATTTTAAAGGAAGGGATATGTCTCTTCTTCATACCTTTTCTATTCAAATTGAATAGGTGCCAACAAAGCCTATATAAAGGCAGCCCCATTCCAATTTTGATTGATTCCAAAAATTTATTTTCCTTACCTTCATTTTGCTCTCTTGCGTCCTTTATTCTTCATATTATTTTAGGGTAATTTTCAGAGAGTTAGAACACAGGTTTGGTTCGCCGAACAAATTGTTTGAAATGCTACTACAATTTGTGAAGATCATTGTATCCTGGGAGATAGACGCCACTCAACCGTAAGCACCGTAGCGGGGCGAATCTATCTTAAGGACAGAGTGTCACACACTCGACTTGGTCTTTTATTTTTAATTCAGTTCGATAAATAAATTCGGTAAGTTATTTATTTTATTTTATTTGACTTTGTTTTAATTTATTTTATTTACACAGAAGATTGTTCTAACAATAATTTCTCTCTCTCTCTCTCTCTCACACACACAAATAGGATTCTTGTTAATTGTACTGATACCCTTTGGATATATATATATATATTTTGTTTGCATTAAAGAAATTTTTATATTGATAATGTTTAACATATTGTACGAATAATTATGGACAATTTTGAAGTATATGTATTTTTTTACTCTCATATTATGTTATTTTCCCAGAAGACTGAGGTGTATAGATCTTTGCAATTGCTAATTTATTGGCGATTTGTCAAATTTCTACTCAAATCCATGATCCAAACATAGCCTTTGAGATTTGTCATTGAAGTAGATAATAGTTTGCTGTAGAAATATTTCGTCAAAGTTTATGAGTTCATTTTGATTTATCTTTTTGCAGTACATTTTGCTTCAGATTCTTCACAGTGTTGCATATTGTCATTCACAAAAAATTATCCATCGAGATTTGAAGCCACGAAATTTGCTAATAGGTCGGAATAAAATACTGAAAATTGCAGACTTTGGAATGTCTAGGTCAGTTGATGTCCCTCTCAAGATATACACAAAGAACGTAATACTGTTCCTCTCAGGCCAAAGGCCAGTTTTCAGTATTTGGTGTCCTTGGAATAGCTGATTATTTTGACCTAAGAATGTTCAACTGCACCTTTGGAAGATACAATTTCTTCTTTATCTTGAACTAAGAAAGCACATCTTCTTTAATTGGCATGAAATCAATTAATCATTTGGTAATTTCATAATTGGAATTAATTGGTAAAATAGGCTTATTCACCTCCCTCTAGGCACAATTCCGTAGGTGGTTGGTTGTTTCACCGGTGACGTTTTTTTTGCTCATATTGCTGGTGGTTCTCCGCAGGTGGCAAGTCTTTGTTATATGGCTCCTGAAATCCTGTTCGGCGTTGGGCAGTACTCTGCTCCTGTACATATGTGGGCTGTGTTGAGATCAGGGATCCCGCCCAAGACCTTATAGAAATCATACCAAGCAGAAAAGCACACCCACACTCAAGGAGACACAATATTTAACATGGTTCGGCCTTAAAGCCTACGTCCACGGGAGAGTAACCTGTTATCACTATAACAATGGAGAGATTACAGAAAGCTTACAATAGAGGAGGAGCTCACACTCTCCTCACTCAGCCACTCACCCGTCTCCCTCTCTCACACCGAGAGAAACGGTTTCTCTACCTCACATCTCTCACTCTCTTCCCCTCTCTCACCCTCTCCATTTATACACATAATGGTAGGTGGGAAAGTCTTCCATGTGAGCTGGCTGCCAGCCCTCTTCTTCTCCTTTTGGTGGCCGTCCACCTTTGAGGCTTGTCGGTTGGCAACCGCCTTCCTTGACTTGATGTGTTGTGTTTTCACATGTGAAGAAAATCACCCCTCACATGGGGTGATATCAACAGGCTATAGGTTGTATATTTGGTGAAATGGTGAGGCATCGGTGTATGTTCAGCGGTTGTGGTGAGACTGATCTATCACTCAACATTTTGGTTCCATATAGTTTAAATTCACCCATCCATTCCCTGTTATGTCTCTTGTGTTGTGAAGTTCTTTCTTACATCTAGTTTTTAAACATTTAGGCTTTTAGGCACTCCAAATGAAGAAACCTGGCCTAGAGTGACCTCATTGTTTCCTTGCCTTAGTGAAATAATCCAGAGTCCTCCTCAGGTAATGAAGGTTTGTAGTAAAGTTTCACTTCTTGTTGAAACTGGCTTCTTTCCCCCTGGAGAGAAGTCCTGTTTTATCCAATTGTCACCACGGTTCCATTCTAATAATTCAAACTGATAGATCCCTATGCATAGATCATCCATAAAAAAAAATCGACTTGATCCAATAATTGTAGTCACAATATTGTTTTGAAAATGGCCATTTATTTTCTTAAAGACAAATTAGATAATTTTTTGTATAGTTACGATGATGGAACTGACAAAATAAATGACTTGGATCCTCAAAGTGAGACCTGTGGTAGAGCCTATGAGCCCAACTGGACAGAATCGAACTGGATTGTTTCTTGTTATAGAATCTTAACAGGTTTGATATTGACCTTTGCTTCCATTATTCCATGCAGGACCTGGCAGAAGAAATCCCAGGCCTTGAACCTGCAGGAGTTGATCTTCTTTCTGTAAGTATATATACTTGAAAATATTTAATGGTAGCTATCTTGAAAAAATGGTTTAGTCATCCCCATTTAGATGTTTGACATTGATTAGAGCAATCTAATGCTCACTACATAGAGTGGAATAAATTGTCTAATCTGAGTGTGTCTTGAATTCAACCCAGATCCTGCTTTTCACACGTTGGCAACCCACACAACTCAGACCATTCCTGACCAATAGGATCAACCAATCATTTGTATTTGGGTTTATTTTGACCTGGTTTTCTACTTTTCAAATCTTTGTATTTAAGGGGTTATTTCGAGGTTGTAGGGTTAGAATGATCTCGAGAGAGAGCTGGCTTTGTATAATTTGATCCACATTCATTCCATAGTGAAATTCTTCTGATCTTTGCCCACGGATATAGGCTTATACCCGAAACATGTTTGTTATGTTTTAGCTTTTCTCAGTTCCGCCTTTGCCATAACATTGTTCTTGGTAACAATATGTGTGGATTCTAAAATTGGAGTCCAGGGGCATCACATCATCACTTGCACTTTCATCAAACATGTTTATGGTTGTTTGCACTTATCCCTATGCTTGTTTTCTCCAGAAAATGCTCTGTTTGGACACCGGGAAAAGAATCACAGCACGGGATGCTCTCAAGCATGCTTACTTAGAGATGTACAGAAGCCACCCTAATTTCCTGATGGCAATCCCATTTTTCTACTCTGCTATTGCATGAACTGAGAAAAATTGTGTGGATCATTGTCCAAGTTGTCATTGAATCTGGTTCAGCAAGTACATAACTACTGCATAATAATGTGCTTCTTATTCTAAAATTGCTGATTTCTCAAATTACATCCATAGCATTAGCTTTTTTAGTTTACTCCACATTTGTAGTTGTAGATGGATCATTTCTTGATCTACAATGTGAAGTAATGCAGTCTATCATTTCATTGTATCAAAAAACTCCTAATGCAAGGCAATACTCTAATATTGTGTTTGGTTGGAAGATTTGGAGAGGGATTTAGAAAAAAAAAAGAGAAAATATGTGTGAAACTAAGTGAAATTTAAGTATATTTTATTCACATTTCATCTACCTTTTCCATTTCTCTTTCCAAATTCCTTCTCAAATTCCCTAACCAAACACAGCATAAGGAGCTTTTGTTCCAAGGATTGAGACATGGGATTAGGCTTTATATCCCATAGATTTACTAGTCCATCGTTTTGTTAGAAAAAGTGAAGGTTAGAGTAATACTTCTTTTGTTTGGACATAAAATATTTCTTAAAAAATATTTTTCCGCATGTTTTGGCACTTGGTACAATAAAAAAACTAAAGTTAATGAAAAACAAACTTATTTATGTAAAAAAATATTTTTTATTTTTAAAAGAGAAATATTTTTTGAATTAAAATTCTATCAATATTATCATATTACCACCGTCACTTTCACTACTACCACTACAACCACCGCTACCATCACCATCATTGCTGAGAGGGGAGATTTGCACCGTTAGTACGGTCGAGCTGAGACGGCACGGATCTGTTTTAAATTTGTAGATTTCTTAGAAACCCTAGGTTGATTTTTGATGATAATCCATGATTTGGCCCAAATTGATAGTTGAATCATGAAAGTGGTCAGATAACCTCGGATGAAGGTAGAACGGACGGAGGCCGGCATGCCTCGCGACCGGTATGCCACGATAAATCGGTCAATACCAGCCCGGCCCATGAGCATCACCCCGCCGCCCCTTAGCCAAGGGGCAGTCCGGTGGGGCATAGCGCGGTTGAGTGCCTGTAGTGATAGTTCTTCGTGGGAGATAGGTCGGTCGTGGTACTGCGGTCAGGTGTGCCACCTGGGCCAATGGCACGAAGGAAGGGACATCTGCTCCACATATGCCTCAATACCGTTAGGCAGTTCTGCGTGTACTGTTGGGAGGACTAAGCCTTTACACGCGTAAGGTGGTGAGAGGCGAGTACTGCCATCTATCTTGGGAAGGACAGCAGAGGTAGTGCGCGCATAATCTTGAGGCTACATGGCCAGCCTTGAAATAGGGAGGAGGGCGAACGTTAGAGGTATGCAACTTTTTCCCCAAAAGAAAACACTCTCTCTCTATCTCTCTTCTCTTTTCTCAAGTGGACTGACTTGATCGTCGGAGGGTCTTTCCGGCACACCACCGCCGGGCAGCTCACCGTTTCTGTGTTACCAGGTAGATGTCGTCAAGAGAAGCTTAGAGTACAAGGAGTACGGAAAGTAGTGGATATTTCGCCCCCGTACAATTGGCGCCATCTATGGGAAGTTTTTTGATACTCAACCCTTGCTCTTAGAGCTTCTTCTACCGTTTTCCATGGCCAACAACGGCGAAGCCCCACTGTCCGTCGTCGATGGCGTCACACCAGAGTACGTTCGCTTGAGAGAAGGTCCTCCGAGTATTCCAGCCATGGCGGGCCTAGAGACTCCTTCGCGTAGTGCACGAGACAAACGCGAGAGGAGTACTGATCGCTCGCAGAGCCCTGAGGGCCGCCGACGCCGGGGGGAGTCCCATACGCAGCACTTGGAGCACAAACTCAAGGACCAAGACGCCGTCATTCGCAAAATGTAGGCGGAGATGGAGCTGCTAAAACGCTAGATTAAAGGGAAGGGTGTCGCTGGAGAGGGCAACCTCAGTGAGCGCACCCCATCCCCTCGTTGTAGCAGTCGCCGCCAGGGGAGGACTCATTCTCTCTCCATCACCAGGAACTATGGGATTGGAGGTTCCGACCAAGGGGAGGGCAGGTCCCTCTCTCACGACAACACCTACCGCCCCTCACACCCGACGCCAACGTCCGGATCCTCTTTCTCCACACGTTCCAGGGACTTGAGGGATGTATTGGAGGAGAGGGCGTACCGTCGGGAGGCTCGGAGAGTGCCGGCATTCCAGAGGTTAAGCGTTCCAGCTCATTACAGTGAGGAAGTGGCGATACCAGCCCCCAAAGTGATGGCCCCTGCACTGATGGACAAAGAGCTGGCGCGACTTACAGCCACACCACTGTCTCTAGAGATTGAGAGTACGCCGCTCCCCGCCGGATTCCACCAGCCAAAGTTCACTTTGTACGACGGTAAGACGGATCCATACATGCATGTGAGCCATTACCGGCAAGTAATGGCTGGACACCGGTGGAATGACGCCTTGATGTGCCTCATATTCCCAGCAAGCTTGGGAGAGTTGGGTTTGAAGTGGTTCGAAAGGCTCCCGGAGGGGAGTATTGAGGGGTGGCAGCAACTAGCGGAAGCCTTCGTCACCAGATTCAAGACCAACACACGAATGCCGAAGGAGGTCGACCATCTCCTGGGCGTCAAGATGGAGTCTGGATGTTCGTTGAAGGCATACAATGCAAAATATTGGGAGACATACAATGAGATCCTCGACTGCCCCACCAATCTGGCGATCACTCAGTACAAACGGGGTCTCCCAGTTGGACATAGGCTGCGAGATTCACTTACGATGCATCAGCCTACAACCATGGAGTCATTGATGCAGCGGATCAATGAGCACATTCGTGTGGAGGATGATGCCGCCTCCGCGACCGAGAAGGTTAATCCGGTCGCGGTGGACAGGAGGGTTGCGGGGAAAGTTCACTCGGTAGGGCAGGAGGATAACCGCCCAAACAACCGGTCGAAAGACCAGCGCCATGGTTCAAACCGTGATGACAGAAACAAGGGCCGCCGAAACGACCGGGCTGACCCTCCCCGTGATGCGGCGGAGGATGCCAAAAGAAAATTGAAGGCACAGACTGGGATCACCACGGTATTTAAAATCCCCATCTACCGCATTTTGAGCGAGATTCGAGGTGAACCCTTCGTCCGTTGGTCGGCCAAGTTGGGAAGCGCGCAGAGGGGCTTCAATTCAAAATATCGCTGCACCTTTCATGAAGAACGGGGGCACCGCACAAAGGACTGTTTGCCGCTCAAACAACACTTAGAGGAGTTGGTGGCGGTGGGGCATCTTGACCAATACATAGATAGGGGCATCAAGGCCACGCCAGCAGACCAAGTCGAGCTAAACGGCCTGGCCGCCCTAGAAGCGCCCCCGCAAGGTGTAATCAACGTCATCCACGAAATCATTGAACCAGCCAGGGTTTGTGAGCTGAGGGGGATGATCAAGAAGGCCGAGCACATGAGGGAAGTGCTCTCTGTTCAGCCCGCTGTGAAGAAAGGAAAGACCGAAGAAAGGGACATCCTTTCATTCTCAACCAAGGACTTGGAAAGAGTTCAGATGCCGCACAATGATGCTTTAGTAGTCACTATTCGTGTCAAGGACTTTGATATCAAGAGAATCTTGATCGACCAGGGGAGTTCGGTAAAAATTAAGTATTATGACGCGTTTAAACAAATGAAGTTGGAAGACAAGGACTTGGCCCCCGCAACGTCCCTTTTGGTCGGCTTTAACTCACAGCCAGAATGGCCAATCGGAAAGATTATTTTTCCGGTCAAAGCGGGATCGGTCGTAAAGCAAGTAGAGTTCTGGGTGCTTAAAGTTCCATCAACTTACAACTTGATCTTAGGGAGGGGTTGGCTACACGCCATGCAAGCAGTTGCTTCGACCTTCCACCAAGTCATGCGCTTTCCGGCACCGAGCGAACAAATAGAGGAAGTTTGGGGGGACCAGGTGATGGCAAACAATGCTTCGTTGCGGTAAATGGCAGCCGAGCGGCCAAAGGGTTCGTCCAAATGATTGAAGGGCCCGAGGGTAAAGAAGTCCTTGAAGACGTAGGAAGAAAGGCCGAGGAAAAGTCGGTCGAAGATTTGGTAGAAGTGCGAATTGACGAGAACGATCCCACTAAGTTCTTCCTCTTGGGATCATCCTTGTCTAGTGCCGAGCGGATGGATTATGTAAACTTCTTGGTTTCCAATTTGGAGGCCTTTGCCTGGACGCCTTACGACATGCCCGGCATCGACCCGAGCTTCATTTTTCATCAGTTGAATGTCTTCCCTAATGCACGACCAGTCATTCAAAGGACACGCCGCTCAGCCTTCACCATGCTGAAGTGGTCGCAGAAGAAGTGAAGAATTTGTTGGAAGCTGGTGCCATAGAGGAGGTGCAGTACCCTCGGTGGATATCCAACACGGTGGTTGTCCCGAAGAAGAACGGCAAGTGGCGAGTCTACGTTGATTACAAGACTGTCAACCGAGCTTGCCCCAAGGATAGCTTTCCCCTCCCACGAATTGACCAGCTGGTGGACTTAACCGCTGGCCATCAGAGGTTTAGCTTCCTGGACGCATATCGCGGCTACCACCAGATAGCCATGTATAAACCGGACAGAGAGATCACGTCGTTCACAACCCCCAGAGGCTTATATTGCTACAAAGTCATGCCGTTTAGACTAAAGAACGCCGGGGCAACTTTTCAGAGGATGGTAACGAAGATGTTCGCTCCTCTTCTGGGCCGAACAATGGAGGCCTATATCGATGACATGGTGGTGAAGAGTAAGGAGAAGTCTCAACACCTCGCCGACCTTGCAGAGATGTTCGCCATACTTAAGCTCCACAAGCTTCGCTTGAACGCCACAAAGTGCGCCTTCGGAGTTGGCACCGGAAAGTTTCTGGGTTTTCTGGTCACAAATCGAGGGATTGAAGCTGACCCATCACAGATCAAGGCCATACAAGACCT